CGTATGCGGGCGGTTTGAGGGTCCGCCTTGGAGATGCCCTAAAATCCTTGCCCGTTGATGACTACTGTATAAAACTTCATTTACCACACTACGCGAATCACAATGTATTATGTTATTGAGTAAATAGCAATGTGTCCCTAACATTCTTGGGACAACGTACACACGGTTGAACACCAATCATGTGGGAAAGAACTTCCCCAAGATCTAATCAGACACCTTGATATATCACACTTGATTTATTTGTAAATGGCTGGACTAGTAGTTTGTCCAGCCGGCTGAAAACTTCCATATATGCTCACATAACCAGCAATATATATGTATGCTCAGGCGTTCAATTCCGGGACCGCAGGTGGCAGAACGCCTTTGAGGAAGGAGTAGAAAAGAACAAGCGATCTTTTAGGCTGGAAGCTAGGAACCATATGGCCAGCTCCTCTCACTGACGCAAATGTGAATCCTCCCTTGTATTGCTGAGCGTAGCCTCCAACCTAGATTTTACCATACCACACTTTAGTGTATATAGAGAGTCAAATCACAAAAGTAGTATATGATAGTAGAGGATAATTAGTTACCTCGCTGTCTGGGGTGTACCATGGACGCCACGGGTTTGTGACCGTCAGATTGAGATCCTTGACGGAGTACCTCGTCGCCGTAATCGGGCAGACATCATCCATGTCACCGCTGTCATCGAGTTCATTAGCCGTGATGTAATGAGATGGGAGTAGCAAGACTATAACCATTTATTTCTCTTCATTTTGTGTCTTTGAATGAACTGCAAGTCTGCAAATACGTATGTAAGTTACCTGTACAGCCAGATTCTTAATCCGTTGTTGACAAGCCAATCAATGGTTGGCACCATGGAAATTGGGGCATCGCTCCAATTTACGTTACTGTGAACAGAACAAGGTGGGCTTAGAAACATATCTGGTAAATAAGACAGAGTTTTTAAGGAAGTGTGTACTTACGCGCACTCTGACCAGTCAGTGTTGGTTCGAGCATGCATGGCCTTCTGCACCTCAGGATTGTTGAAGTAGGCGTCGACATAGTGCCCGATGCACGGATCATAGCCTGCTAACTGTCCCAGCCACGTACATCAGCTAATTAATTAATCAGTACCTCCTCTGGTCTGATGAGATATGTTGGCGCTAACTGCAGATGAGATTTTTGAAAGAGCAAGAGCATATATATACGTACGTAGCTACTGGAGTGGATGCTCCCGTCTCGCGACCTGATGCAGACGGGAGCGTAGATGTTGTAACGATCAATGTTGCCGGTTCTGACGGACGCCTTGGCCTTGGCCTGGCCGCACGCTTTGCCCTCCAACCGACCGAAGCTGCAGTGCTCGCTGATGTTGCCCCACACCTCGTCGGAGATCACGCCGTGGTTCCACAAGAACTCGTACCGTCCCCTCGTGTTCTTGTAGTCATCAAGGTACGGGTTGCCAACCTGCGTGGATAACCCCGATTAGCCATTGATGTCATCAGTGCTGAACTAGTCTGCCATGACCAGGCAATAACTTACGAAGATCCCCTTGAGGTTCATGCTTGTGGCGCCGAGTTTGCGGAGGGCGACGATAACGGTGGCGAGCTGGGGGACGTAGTGGCCGCTGTAGCTCTCGCCGGCGATGTAGAAGTCTCGGCCCTTGTACTCCGGGAACCTCTCCAGCCAGTTGAGCAGGAAGTTGTAGGCGTCCACCGCGGTCCTCGTGTCGCCGCTCTCGTGGTTCTCCGACGACGTGTTCGAGTACGAGAATCCCACGCCCGCCGGCGACTCCAGGAAGATCACATTTGCCACTGCGAAGATGTGTACATATAACAGCTTATACCTTCTTGACTCGCGCGTCGCGCATGAGAGTTGTGTAATCAAGAGGGTCGATCAGTCAAGTCACCCACCATTGTTCCAGGCGTGCCTGTTTCTGCTCAGGGTCTTGCCGTCGGGGTTCACGCGGAACGGGCCGAGCTCTTGCATGGCGCCGGCCCCCAGCGAGGAGCACCCAGGCCGCCGTTGAGCCAGAGGACGAGCGGCTTGGAGGAGGCCTCGTACGCGGCCTCCACGAAGTAGTAGAAGAGCGCGCGGCCGTACTGCGCGCTCACCGTGACGTAACCGGAGTACTGGTCGAAGTTGACGCGCGGCGGCTGGCCGGGCAGCGCCGCGATCTTGTCGGCCTCCCTGGCGCCCGGCGGCGCGCTCGGGGCGCTCCTGGGCAGGTGCCTGAAGCTGCTGTCGGGGTTGGCCCACGTGTCCGGGTTGACAGCACCGGTCGCGAGGGTCTTCGCCCTGCTCTCCAGGAAGGTCGCCAGCACATCTCGCTGCTGCAGCAGGGTCTTCGCGCTCGCGAGCGAGGCGCCCAGCAGGATCGCCAGCATGACCGTGTAAGGCGCGGCATGGTTCCCCATCGTAACCTAATGCTGTCAGGCGGCAGCTGCTTGCTGAGAACGCGTAGATCTTTGGTGTTTTTATAGAGAGAGTGGTACCCGTCGAGGTCGGAGGGGGTAAAGTACCACGAAATGATGGGTCCTCTTCGCCGTTCTAGAGTGCTGGACATTGTTGACGTACGTTCCGCAATGGAATCGACATGGCGACGCCGCCGATGCCGAGGTGACATCTCTAGGCAACAGATGGTCCAAATTGATACGAGCCGTTAATTAGGAGAGATCCGATGGCTAGTATTACTCTTACCTCGCTATTACAAGAGATCGAGATTCTCTAAGGCTAATATGGACTTAATTTGCACTCCTACGAATAAGGAAGTAAATTATTGCTTCATTAAACGTGCAGGTAGATAAGGAAACTAATAATAATGCTAATTAATGTGCGTGTCGGTTCCATTCCAAATTTGTTCCAGCCAGAATATGCCAGAGCACTTGCATGCCCTTAATTTAGCTAGTATTAGATCTTGATAAGGAATTACCTTTTATTACTATTATTACTATAGTCCCCTAAATATAAGTCTTTGTAGAGATTTCAATACGGACTACATACAGAGCAAAAACGAGTGAATCTACACTTTAAAATATGTCTATATACATCTGTATGTAGTCCTTTTTATAAAATCTCTAAAACGATTTATATTTACGAACGGAGAAAAATAATATAGTAGACACATCTTTTTTTGAACACAATACCGACGCAAACGATCATACACTCCTTTTATGAACGCACACACGCACACTCTGCCCCTAGACCGAGCTGGCACATCAACTTGAGGTTGATGCACTCGTCACAAACGTCTTTGTAGTCGACCGAAATATCTCCCTCCATTGAGTGCACATCGTTGTAAGACCTGAAATAAATCTAGAAAAATACGAGCATCGGTGTAAAGCCTACGACTTGAACCCTGATAGGCTGGGATACCACTGTCCTTCTAACCATTCAACCACATGTTAGTTTGATAATTCACATTTTTAGTACATATAAGTATGTATTGACCAATGGCAACTTAAATAATTTAGGCCAATTTCTAACATGTGGACATACACGATACAATCACATATTGATATATGTCTACAAAACTATATTTATATTTAAACAACGTTAAATATTTAACATTAGAAATTTTTGTGATAGCATTGCATAAAGTTCTTGTACACATCTTTCACATCCAAACATACACCATTTCTTTGTAGGGCAAACATACACCATATTTCAGTACATATGTATAGCGCACAGTACATACTGATCAATAGCAGTTTAAGGAATTTATGCAAATTTCTAACACTTTCAAATATACAATATCCCATAGGACAGTGCTAGGCGCCGGCCCAACTTTCGGCCGGTCGAATGCCGAGCGTCCCATGTGAGACCGCGTGACTGTCATATGTCACATTTGCTTCTCTTATCCGGTCAACGCTGCCAATCCTCCCCGCGCAGGCGGTCACCCTTGCGGTCGTAGCGGAGATGCCGCCCGAGCTCGCTGCAACTCGCCGGCGGTCACTGTATTGCAGCTCCACCACTTCGTCGGTTCCAACTTCACCTCATCCTGAACAGTAGTTGCGGCAATTCTATACATCGGTCAACGGAGACTAAATTCAATTGGCTGCAGAATGCTCTTTTGTTTCACTTATATTTGTTAGATCTTGGCCGATTCTTTTGTAAAAGAAATTAAACTCTCCTGTTTCACTTATATCTATTTAGAGAGTTAACAGGAACTGGTCATTCACATGGTTAATCATAAAATCTTGCATAAAATTATAGATCATCGAATATGATATGTTGGATTCCCTGGCATAGTTTTGCGATATTAAAATGGCAATATTGTTGAGGAACGCAGTATTTTAAAAAAAAAATCCTACGATCCCGCAAGATCTATCTAGGAGATGCATAGTAATGAGAGGGGAGAGTGTGTCTACATACCCTCGTAGACCGAAAGCGGAATTGTTAAGTAACACGGTTGATTTGTCGAACGTCTTCGCGATCCAACCGATCAAGTACCGAACGCACGGCACCTCCGCGATCTGCACACGTTCAGCTCGGTGACGTCCCTCGTACTCTTGATCTAATTGAGGCCGAGGGAGAGTTTCGTCAGCACGACGGCGTGATGACGGTGATGATGAAGTTACCGACGCAGGGCTTCACCTAAGCACCACAACGATATGACCGTGGTGGAAATCTGTGGAGGGGGCACCGCACACGGCTAAGCCAACTGTCAACTTGTGTGTCTATGGGGTGCCCCTCCCCCGTATATAAGGGAGTGGAGGAGGGGAGGCCCGGCCCTCTCTATGACGCACCCCAAGGGGGATTCCTACTCCTAGTAGGAGTAGGTTTCGCCCCTTTCCCTAGTTGGAGTAGGAGAAGAAGGAAGAGGCAGAAGGAGAGAAGGAAAGGGGGGCCGTCCCCCTTCCCAATTCGGATTGGGTTTCG